ATCAATGATTAGTTAGCAATTAGAAGAAGCATGAAAAAGAATTTCATGTCTTTTTAAATAATTATATAAAAAATAAGATTTTTAGTGGATTTAAATTTATTTTATTACTATAAAAAATTACTAAGATAGAAAGATATAGTCTTACATAGATATTAGTATTATAAAAATATTATAGGGTTTTTTAGAATTTATTTAGAATTTATTTAAGATTTTTTATGAATTTTAGAAAAAAATTCAAGACCATGGTAAAATTGAGTTTCACCACTTTGAGAACCATTATGAAGAAATGAAGCAAGATTTAAAGACTATGCAAGGTTCTAGGCTATTTGGATGTTTTTGAACACCATGGTGAAGTCAAAAATGCAATAAAAGTAGTTTTACTAATAGAAAATAGGAGGACCAGCAGCTAGTGTAGTCCTTATAGGAAGAGAGGTGCACAATTCCCACATGGGTTGTAGCACCTTGGGTATAAGTAGGAAGATAAGAATAAGGCCTCAAAGCGTCTTTAGACAACCAATATACTCTACTTGTGAGCCTTGGTGAGGCTCAAAATCCTGATTTCTTAAGTAAATTATCTTTGAGGTAAAAATTATTCACTTAATTTTTCTATTATTTATATTCTATTTTTAATAGAAAAATTAATATAAATTGTGACTTAATTTTGGGTGTTATGATTACTTGATTTTATTTCTTTCACTTGTATTGTGCTTGATCCTCTTTGGTCTTTTGCCAATTGCTTACTACACTTCATACCACCAATTACAAGCAACTCTTAATTGAAGCTATCTTGTAATTGGAGTTGAAAAATAAAATTTACACTCACAAAATATTATTAATATAAAAACCAACCTTAATAGTAGCCCTCACTATATTATATAATAAATTATACATTAAATATATATATGCATTATTTTCACATGATAGCCAAACCACAATACAACACTATTATGGTGCAATATAGTTCATCTGTATTGGCAATTAGACAATGGTAACTATTAAGTCAAAATTATTATAATATTTTTACTACAAAATAAAAAAAAATAAATTTACTTACAATCTTTGGAAAAATTTCAAAGAAAATTGCTAGAAGTCATCAATTGTTATGACTTGAATTTAAAATCTACAATCTTTAGTTTAAAATTATAGTCAGTTGTACCATTTATCTTAATTGACTAAAAATTAAGATTTTAAAACTATATATTCACTATATATCTTAAAATGATGTTTTTTTCTATTATAGTTTTTTTTATATAACTCCAATTATTGTTATACTATAACAACTAAAAAATTTATTTTTTTTATTTTTTTATTTATCTTTTCTTGCATAGAAATTTTTATTCATAAAAATTATTTTTAAAAAACAGATTTTAATAAAGAAGAAAAAAAGTCACACTTAAATTAATGTCACTTAGGTTTAGTATGCTTCTTCCTACCTTCTACTCTTTATAATTACTTCAATAAGTCCTATACTTGATTTAGTATCTCTTTCTTATTCTTGCTTGATAACAGATTTAAATTGAAATAATATCATATATTTCTTATTTAACAAGCATAAAAAAAACATGTAAATTTGAACAAAGAGCTTAATTGACATAAATCCATGTATGATAAATAATCAAAAAATTCTTGAAAATAAATTAAGATAAAAGAAGAATTTATCAATGAAAGTTATAAAAATCTCCTTGCAACTACTAAGGCTTTTGAGGTAGTTCTTGGCAAATATATTATTATATGAGGTTAACAATCCATCTCTATATTCTCTTAAAAAGATAATATTTATGAAAGTGTTTATATCTTTTATTGTTCATTGTTATTAAAATATTAAATCAACTCCTAAATTATCTCATATTAAGGTTGTAAGAACTACTTCAAAACCAAATAGGAATAATTAAAGAATAAATAAAGATTTAATAAAGATTGGATGAAGATCATATGAAAATTGGATAAATATTAAATAAAAACTAGAAAAATATTGGATGAAGACTAGATAGAAATTAGATGGAAATTAAATGAAGATTACATGTAAATTAGATTAAGAATAGATAAAGATCAAATAAATACTAAATAAAGATAAGATCAAGATTTAATAAAGACTAAATAAATATTAGATAAATATTAATGAACGTTTCATTAATGCATTTTAATTGATAGAATTCTTAAAAATAAGGTTTTAAATTATTCAGATAGAAAATTATTAATATTAGAAAAAAAAATTATTATTCATATAATTTTTATAATTTAAAAGGATTTATGAATTATAAGAATTTTATTAAAAAAACATATTACAAAAATAGAATCTTAATAAGTTTTGGAGATAATTATTCAAGTTGATTTAGTATTTTATCTAAATTGTAAAAATTATCAATTAGTTATTAAGACCAATCTCTAAATTGGCCTCTTATCTACATATATTACTCATTCAAAACCTATAAATTTTAATTAGTAGATAGAAGAAGCATGAAAAAGAACCTCATGTCTTTTTAGTTATTTATATAGAAAATATGACTTTTAGTTGATTTAAACTAATTTTATTACTATAAAATATTAAATAGGTAGAAAAAAATAGCTTTAAATTTATATTAGAATTATAATAATATTAAAATTATTTTTTAAATTTATTTAGAATCATTTGGGCATTTTTAGATTATTATTTTAAGACTTGAGTAAAAATGATTTTATTACCTTGGGATGCCATTATAAATAATTTGAAAAAATTAAAGGCAATGTAAGGTTTTTCAGTTAACTAGATATTTTTAAATACTATGGTGAATTTTAAAATATAAAAAAGAGATTTTACTAATAGAAAATAAGATAACCAACAATTAATATAGTAGTTGTAAGAAGGGAGGTGCACATGTCTCATATGCATTGTAACACCTTGGATGTAGATAGGAGTATAAGACCAAGGCCTTGTGGCCTTTGTAGAACATCCATATATATTACTTTTTAATCTTAGTAAAGCTCAAACCCTTGATTACTTAAGTAAGTTACTCTTGAGTTAAAACATATTCATAATTTTTATTTTTTTATTTTTTTATTTTTTTGACTTTATACCTTAAACCTCTATAACTTGCTCATAGTAACTTGGATTAATATTTTTTTATGTCATTAGAAATATATATATATATATATATATATAAATAAAAAAAATTATTTCTATTTTTTATTATATAAAAATCCAATAAATTCACTATAATTAATTATAAGAGTTTGAAATTATCTGATTGTATTTATTTTACTTATATTGTGTTTTTTCTTTCTTTTTTTTTTCTTGATAAATGCATCTCTTATTTTATACCACCAATTATAAGTAAGTATTGATTGAAGACATCTTGTAATTTGGATTGAGGGATGAAATTTACCTTCACACAAGTTTATAGAATATTTTGTAAGGTGTTAATGGTTTCTAAAGATCTACAAAAAATATTTTAAGATTCTAAAAGATTTAAAGATGTTACAAAATCCTTTAAAAGTATAAGATTTATATTTATGGTAATACTTCTTATTATGTAAAAAAAATTGTAAGATGCTTCAAAGGCTTGTATCTTTATATTTAAAAGAAATCAAAGACCTGATTTAAAAAATTGTTAGAAAGACATCATTCTTTTATTATGTAGATACTTCCTTATACATACATCCTTGCAAAAAATAACTAGTTTTGATTCTCAAATCATGATTCTTGTTATATTTATACTTTATTATTAAATTTTGATATATTCTTGTCTATTTATATTTTATGGATCTATGATGTTTTTGTTCTTAATTCTTATTTTCTTGTGGGTCTTTGTCAAAATGATTTTTTGAATATAAAAACGTAAAATATTGTATTTTTTCATTACTTTTATTTGGCAATATCAGATTAAAAAAATTATAAAAAAATATTTAAAATCAAAACTAGTTATTTTTTGTAGAGATATCTATGTAAAGAAGAATTATGCAATAAAAGATAAGTGTCCACCTAGTATTTTTATTTTACTTTCATTTTTTTAGACTTTAATCAATAGACATATTAATTCTATTTAATTACTATTTAATTACCATTAATAATTGTGAATATTTTTATTTATTGATTTATTTAAATAACTTGGCTTGACATGAGATATATAAAAATATTTTTTTCTTTCTTTTCTTTTTTTTGCAAGATTTAAAAATCTTAATCTTTAATAATATGACTAAGATTCAAAAATCTTCCCAATATTTTACATACCAAATATATTTCTAATATATAAAATAGCTATAATTGATCTTAGAATTGTAACAATAAATATTTATATTTAAAATATTGATATTAAAAAAAAAATCTCAATTTTAGACATTCCAAAGTTCCAAAGATCAAACTTAATTATGAAAATAAAACAATAGAGATATTCTTGTCACAAACACACCAACATTAGTAAAGATAAGAGGAGATAGATAGAAATAAGTAGAAGTAAGTCAATTTGATAATATCTTGTGGAGAAGATTCAGACACAAGTTTGAATTTTTAAATGTTTGTAAATGATTGATAGGTCAAACTAGAGTTTTTCTTAAACTAATTCTTTGTAACCATGTAAGGTGGTGAGTGCTTAATGACCTGGTTACACAATCAAAGCTGGTTTCAACTACTGTTTGACTACCCACGAAAGGTCTTCACACCTTTTTGACTTTTCGCGTAATTTCGCCAAGAAGCTGCGTGGAATTTCCCTGGATTTGAAGGAAGACGTCAGCGCTTCCAGCACAGACCGAATTCTGTGAAATCCCACGCCATAAGTCTAGTCCAGTCAACCCACTGGTCTCCGGACTCCCAAAAGCGCGGCGCTTTCAGCGACTTTTCTACTGGGTTTTGTTTCTTTCCTTACAACTTTCTACTGAAGCTCGTCTGTTCTCTCGTGGTTCACTCGCCACAAAGCGACTTTAGTTGTCGTTCTTGACGTGCACACTTGGATGGAATTTTGGAGAGGAAGTTGAACGGCAAACTGCCGTCACTGTAGAGGTCAATGCCAAGCTTTAGCTGCAGCGTTCATCTGCGGAGGTTGGGTTTATTAGGTGGTGGCTTGGAGCCCTGAACCCATCAGAGACGCTCTGTGTGCTTGTCAAGCGGGAGTTGACTGCTTGAGATGCATAATTCAGCTGCGGATAGAGATCGACCAGTGCGGAGCCGAAAATTGTAGAGGAAGTTTGATGGTAACTGGTGGTTGTGTGAAGGATTTTAGTGTGCGTGGTAGTCGGGTTTGAAATTGATAGGTTTATCGAATTCTCTGTCTGTAGAAAACAACGACCCAGGGGATTGGTAACGACGAACCTGGAAGAAGCGAATTCATTCCTACAGATTGCCAATTCAATCAGAAATTTCAAGCTTGGGACACGAAACTAGTGAAGGGATAGTGGTTGAATTTAAGAAACAGAAATGGCGCTCATTGCGGTTTCAATTTCGGTCATGCCCCCTTTTTTTAGCATTTTCGAAATATGGGCGTGTGTTTTGCTGTTTGCGACTGTGGGGTTCTTCCTGTATCGGCAACAGGGAAGCAAGGGCGCAGAGCCACAGCCCTTGCAGGCCAAGAAGGTGGAGGAGATCGAGGAACTGCCGGAGGACACCATCCAGAATCATGTGTCGGTGTTTTTCGGTACTCAGACCGGCACAGCAGAAGGATTTGCCAAGGCTTTGGCGGAGGAAGCACAGTCTAGGTACGGCGATAGCGTTGAGTTTAAAGTGTTGGATCTGGAAGAGTATGGAGCCGACGATGATCAGTACGCGGCGAAGCTTAAAAGGGAGAGAATCGCATTCTTCGCAGTGGCAACCTACGGCGACGGTGAGCCAACAGATAACGCCGCTCGGTTCCACAAGTGGCTGGTTGATTCCAGCGAGGACAACGATTTCAAGCTGAAAGGGATGAAATTCGGCGTATTCGGCCTCGGAAACCGCCAGTACGAGCATTTCAACAAGGTGGCGGTGCAGATTGACGAAGCGCTGGAGAAGTACGGTGGAGAGCGCTTGGTACAAGTTGGACTAGGCGACGACAACGACTGCATCGAGGACGATTTCGCTGCATGGAAGCTAAAGCTGTGGCCTGCTCTTGATGAAATTTTGGGCACAGGCCAAACTACTCCGACAGCTACTTACACCGCCGCTGTTGCAGAGTATCGCCTGGTCACATACGAGGCTGGAACTGAGGTCCACGAAGAATCATACGAAGCTAGGAAGAACGGCCAAGGTGTATTCGACGTCAGCCACCCTTGCAAAGCTGAAGTGGCAGTGGTAAAAGAGCTTCACACCGCTCTCTCAGACAGGTCATGCACGCACTTTGAGTTCGACATCGCAAACACGGGGATCACCTACGAGACAGGTGATCATGTGGGAGTGTTCGTGGAAAACAGCAGCGAAGACGTGGAAGAAGCGGCAAGGCTCCTCGGCGTTGATCGGGATATGATTTTCTCTCTTCATGTGGATGCCAAGGCTGCATCCAATCTACCCCAACCATTCCCAGGCCCGCTCACCGTGGACACCGCATTACGACGATATGCAGATTTGCTGAACCCTCCCCGTAAAGCAATTCTGAGCATTCTGGCAGCGTACGCCCAGGATCCCGAGGAAGCAGAACGTTTGAAGTTCCTCGCTTCAGTAGATGGGAAGGATGAGTACGCACAATGGGTTGTGGCAAGCCAACGCAGTCTCTTGGAAATCTTGGCTGCGTTCCCCTCCGCGAAAGTGCCACTCGGTGTCTTCTTCGCAGGAGTTGCCCCACGATTGATGCCACGGTTTTACTCCATCTCTTCGTCTCCGGCAATTCATCCAACCAGGATCCATGTCACTTGTGCTCTGGTCTACGGCAAAAGCCCCACCGGGCGCATTCACCGCGGGGTCTGCTCCACCTGGATGAAGAACGCAAATTCAATTGAGAAATCGGGCCCCAAGAATTGCAGCTCGGCTCCCATTTTCGTCCGAAAATCGAGCTTCAGGCTGCCAGCCGATCCAGCAACACCTATTGTGATGGTCGGGCCTGGCACAGGACTGGCGCCATTCCGAGGCTTCTTGCAAGAAAGAGATGCCCTTCAGAAATCTGGTGCTACCCTAGGCCCCGCGAAGCTCTTCTTCGGATGCCGCTCGAGCGACAAGGACTTCATCTACGAGGATGAGCTGAACGACTACGTGAAGAACGGCATCACCGAGATCGTGGTGGCATTCTCCCGGCAGAACTCACAAAAGGAATACGTGCAAGACAAGATGCAGCAACACGCGAGCGACATCTGGAGATTACTGAGCGCTGATGGGTACCTGTACGTGTGCGGCGACGCGAAGGGCATGGCAAGGGATGTGCACAGGGTGGTTCACAGCATTGTGCAGCAAGAAGACGGCGTCGACAGCAGCAAGGCGGAAGAAATCGTCAAGCAGCTGCAGCAGGATGGGCGCTACCAGAGGGATGTGTGGTAACTCGTCATCGAAACAACTCCATCTCTCAGTCCAATCGAACTTCAGCGATGGTTTTACTGTAAAGATAATTTTAAACATCCACTGCTTAGAGTTAGTCGAAATTCACACAATCAGTGCGCACATTGTGCAATAGCAGCTGCGAATTCAGGTATTTGTTAGGAACACCCCATAGCGACCATAATCCTTCGGCAGAGACAACCGTTCAACAGCAAGTTGATGAAGTTGAATGTTAGTTCACAAGTTCAAGGATGTATCTAACTAGATGAGTCAAGAGCAAGATGGCCGATTCATCTTCACTTTACAATCACGATGGACAAAACCTACCCAAAAAAAAGTGAAGGCATTTCAGCCCGGCACATGTTTCAACTACAAACCTGCGTCTCGATTTAGCGTAACCACTGAGATTATTTTTTTTTTTTTTTTTTTTTTTTTTGCCCTGTGGATTCGAAGCTATGTCTAGTTCGAGCTCTATCCGCTACTGCATGTTCAGGTTTCAAGCGACAACAATCTGTCGCGGGAAGATTCCAAGTGTGGCAACATGGATCAACGGCGACACCGAAATGAAACTAAACCATTGAGCGTTTTCACTATCAATTATATGACGGCAAGTTGAGCTTCAGCAATGCATTGTTACGATCATGAAACAACTGAGTTTTAGTAGATTAGATGAGATGGGTTCAGACGTGCCTGATCCCATTGATATGGTTCGGCAAAATCTGGGTGCTTGGATTGTCCATCACAGATCTAGTGTAGATTGCAGACTTGGGGCATATTGTCACCGGAACCACAAGCGATTTAACGACAGCTTGAGAGATACATTGTGTAACGATCTTATCAATAAATTGCTAAGATATATGTATGTATGTATATAAAACACATTTGTGGATGTAAATCAATACCATAAACTAGGAAGACAAATTGGCCTTCTCATTGGTTGGATTTTTCAATCATCATTGTTTTCATCAAAACTTTTGTTTTATTATTTTCAACAAAACTTAATTTAACTTGTCGATTCACAAGACTTTAACAAAACCAATTAACCACTTGGAGTGAATCCATGGACAATCATAGTGAGGAGTAGAGTAAGCACTTGAAGAAGACTAGAAGAACGTTCCATCTAGTTACAATCTGATTCATCCAAAATTCATAGAGGTTTGCATTGAAGAGAACTTCCTTGACATGCAACATCCACCATCACCACCCCTGGTTCTATTACTACCTACATTGACACTCTATTTGTGCCATGGCATGAATCCCAATAGTAATTCTTATTCTCAGATATCAGATTGTTTTCTTAATTTTCTTTTGAATTGATTTTTTTCATGAACTTCTAGTTGTAGAATGGCTCAGAATTCAATCTCATTGCAAAAATTATGGTGATGGTGTGGAAAGGTGTATTATATCTAAGAACTTGGTTACAGTTGTTACTTGAAAGGGTTGATTTTACCATGAAGGCTTAGGGTACAACAATGCAAGGGTTTAAAGAGAAGTCTACTAGAAATAGACAAGTGGAGGCAGAGGTGGGAGTTAAAGTGGTGTTTTTTTATGGATTGGAGTTGTTTGTATCTTGGAGGGTGCATTTCCTCCAATTATTCCTCCTCTAACAGCTGCACGTCTTCTTAAATGGGTGGCCATCAAAGCATGATAGAATTCAGTTTTGATGTTCTGACAACACCTTCTCATGTGCTCTAATAACATTAGGGTTCATGCAAGGAAAAGAGAATTGGGCTACAATTTCATTATTGTAGTCTTTTTTGCAGCCAAGTTATGAATATTGTGTATGAGGAGCATGTGCATTTTTTTATGTTTTTTTACATTTTTTTTTTTTGAAAAAATAGAGAAATGCCAAATGCACAAGATATTTAAGTTAAAATCATTTTAGAACTTTTTGTTCGAATATGTAATAAGAATATAAAAATTGAGCAAATTTATCATAAATGTGTGGATATAGATGCTTGTACCAATTTCTTCAGTATCTTCTACTACTTCACAATTAGATTTGTGCAACAATTTTTTTTTTCTTTTTCTTTTTTTTTTCTTTTTTTACTTAGAAGCACAAAATAAAGTTATTTTTGGATTATCAAAGATTTTAAATATTTGTGAGACTTATTTTTTACAATATTATTATTTATAAAATATGATAATATTTTATAATAGAAGAATAGTTATTTTTTAATTTATTTATGTTTAAAATTATATATATATATATATATATATATATATATATATACAAATACATAAATTTGAATTCTTCATATAATTAACACATATTATGTCAATAAGATCTTAATCAGTTTGATATAATATGTTAAAGTTGCAAAGGTCTAACTTTGGACCTTAAAACTACATTGTATTGAGTTAAAGGAATCTTAATATCTATGTAGTTATTTTGAAAAGCCATTATACAACAGTTTTCTTAAGGTTCTTCACTTAGTAAAGAAAATTTCTCTTTTAAAAGCCGTGGTCTTTAGAAAAAGTATAAAATGAGAAGAGGCCATGAAATAGACTAAATCATTCTTATGTTATAAAAGTAAATATGTTAACTCATATCTTAATTCTAATAATTATATATATATAATATATATATTATATTATATATTATATATTATAATATATATATTACTATATATTATAATATATATATATATATAATATTTTATTTCAATAGTTATTTTTTCCAAAGTCTTACACATATTCTTAAAATATATATATATATATATATATATATATATAGGTTGGTCTATTGCAAATTCTAAGACATGATATTTCATCTTGTGTAGGAAAAACAAGTATTCTACTTTGGGGCTTGGAGGCTAATTTTTATAAGTGTAGAGCCAACTAAATGAGCCTTTTTAATATCAGACAATTAAAAGATTTAAAAGTTGTGACCTCTCTCATTTTCTTCTAGGTATTGAAAATTTCTAATAAGTCTAAGAATATACAAAAAATTCAATAATAATAATAATAAAACTTCTTCTACTGATATGGTTTTAAAAGTAAAATTTTGTCAAATTTTGTAATAATTACGATGTTATTTTATAAGCATATAAAGTTGATGTATTTTAACCAATTTTTCTTTAACTTAATTTTTTAAATATACTATAGTTAGTACTACCTTTATAACCAAAATCATTATTAAATCTCAAAGCAACTATATATATATATATATATATATATAAGAAAATGAATTAAATTTTGATCAATGAAATTCAAGGCATAAATTTATTATTAATACTATTGTTGGATTTTAAAGATGCAATGTGATATTTATAATCCATAAAAATTATTTTTTAATCTAAATTTATCTATCTTTAAGAGTAAAGAGAATTCATTTAAATAATTTAATTAATTAATTAAAAATATATAAATATATAAATATACAAAATGTCAGAAATCACAATACTAACATAATTCAAAAGAGATGTAAATAAACATAAGGCCTCAAACCAAGCTTCCTTGTACATTTTCTTCAAAAATATTGAAAAAAATTACAAGATGATTCAAACTCAAAAAAATAAATTAGAAGATCTTTGTGATGCCCTATGGTACTTCGACAGAAGTTTTTAAAACATACAATAGTTTTGTAGTATGTTTTAAAAGTTTCTACATCCACTGATTGTCTGGTAAAATATAAAATAGCGATTTTTGAAAAGATTTTACATAATCACACTGTACTACTACATACTTTAATGAAGAAGAGCTATGTTTAGCAAAATCAAAATTCCCCTACTATTTTTGTTCAAGTTAGCAATTCCATATTACTTGAAGAGTTTTGTTTGAATTGAACTTAGAAAATTATTTTAAATTAGAATGGTCATCAAATTTGTTATTGTGAACATGAACTTAATGCAAGACCAAACTTTCATGAGAGAGCTTCAATAATCATATGATACTTGGCTGGGTGAATGGCTCCTGAGACGACTCCTTAACATAAACTTTGTAAGAGTAATATAAAATCAAATGCCACCCAGCGAAATTTTAAGTAATCTACACTTCCATGACTAGTTTACTAAAACCCTGACAAATATTATACACTTACTAATCTTAATGTTCATAGCTTTTATCCAATCAACATGTGTGGGAATTGTTCTTCAAATCTGCAGAACATTACCTTGAGATGGCAGAATATGCACCAAGTGTAGGCAGGTTCCAGACATCACGACTGAATCCTCGCTTTTCGAGGTTAGAATTTAACTAACAGGTATGCTGAAAAAGTTCCTGGATTTCTTTACCAGTTATTCGGCATTCGAAGAGGGAAAATAAGGTGACTATTGATAATACTCGGATTGATCAGCATGCAGAAGAATTGTCTCAGCAGTCTCAACAATCGAACATACATGATAGAGAGTAAGAGCAATAGCTTAGGTCTCGTATATGAAAGAAATTCAACTTATAATGGTCCTACTGCTTTGCAGGGCCGAGAACACTACAAGTCAAAGAGATATCCCCACTTCCAGTAACAGAAAGCCTCGAGCACCATAACCTTGAGTTTGAGGATTAAGACCCATCTTCGCTGAACCTCATGAACTCGACAGGAGAGCCTAACCCATCAATATCTGTACTTTCTGTCACAATGGATTCGTGTCAAAACTTCATCTCCCCGGTCTATATAAGCTACTAACTCCGCAACAACTACAAACACACTCATATATATATACAGCGCTTTTCAGTCACATGTTCCTGAAGTAACCAAAGCAAGCTAATCCACCCGAGACACGAACACAACTCCGACCTTGCTCAGAAAATGATGCTCTTCATGTAATTAGGATTGGTGATGGGCTGGCTGGAATAGTCCGTGCTGCGAAAATCGGCCGGGTAGGACTGGCTGGGCCTGTAATCGCTGTAATAGTTGGCTTTAGGCTGATAGTTCATATCATGAGGGTGGTAACCAGGGTAGTAACCTCCGCCATAGCCTCCCATGGGTGGAAAGCCTCCATAATCATAGCCAGGGTCTCGAAAGACCATCGGATACTCGTTGCCCTGGTTGTTGCCGCCACCACCACCACCTTTACTTTTCCCCTTTCCTTCTCCTCCACCACCACCACTACCACCTCCTTGATTCTGATTCTGATTGTTATTGGAATTGTTGTTGTTGTTGTTGTTGTTCTTGTTCCTCTGGGAGTTTTCGCCTCCCCCTCCACCTCCTCCTTGATTGTTGTTCTTATTTTTAGGAGTGTTGTCACCCCCATGTCCACCATTGCTCTGCTGGTTATTGTTGCCACCACCGCCACCTCCAGTTTTTTTCTTCTCACCTCCTCCGTTATTATTGCTGTTATTGCCATTGTTGTTCCCATCATTTCCTTTTCCTTGCTTCTGACCATTCCCTTGCCCTTGCCCAGCGTTCCCACCTTTTCCGCCACCACCTGAATCTTTCTTGGTCTCCTGAGGCCAGAAGTACGCCTTCTTATCGACATTCTTCTTGAACTTCTTCAATAAAATCGTGGGATCGACATTCCCAACCACGGTGACTTTGCTGTGCCCACGGTCGATGCTCACTGACTGCACACCTGAATATTTCAACCAAAACGTCCTCTTGTAAGTGCTAATACAACATTCAAAAAGAGGCAGCTTACGAAACATCACGTGAACGTTCAAAGTAATCTCTGCATATTCACTACAAGAAACGTGTAAAATTCAAGGAGTCGATACCGGGGGCAATGATCTTACCATAGACGTAATGAGCTTCCTCCAGAACCTTCTCCTCACACTTGGGGCAGCACATCTTCACTTTGTATTCATATTTCTTCAGCACAAACGACATCAATTCTTCAGCCGAAACAGATAACCTTTCGACATGGTCTCAATCAAGCATAATTGTCGTCATGAAAAGAAAAGAAGAAAAAAAAAAAAAAACTCACAATGGATGAATTACGGTGAATACCAATGTCACAGCTTACCGGAACCACAGGTCCTTTGGGTTTGTTGTTATTATTCTGCTGGTTATTATTGTTACTGTGGTTGTTGGTGTCGCCGCCGCCGCCGCCGCCGCCGCCACCACCCTTACCCTTCTTGCCCTGCTTACCTCCACCTTCATTCCCATTCTCGTTCTCTGTCATCCACTCGGGATCTCTGTTCATGTTCATGACCTGAACAAAGCCAATTCCAAATGTCAACAAAGACTCGATGGAAGAACCCTAGTTGCTCATCTTCAATAGATCGTCTAAAGCTACAACACACCCTCACTGTTCTATCAGCACAAAAGAAAGCGAACGCTTCTTCCTTCTCTAGACAGATACCACACGCCGATGCTTCAAACTTGGTGCGTCAGAAACACACCAACAGAACCACTCAAAAACTCCATATCTGAAGACACCCAAATGGCAGATCGTTCAACTGAAACCAAAGAAGATACAACACCACACTCGTTAAACTTCTCGCCACACTCCGTCTAGACTCAAAGAGTTTGTTAAAACATCGAGTCAACAACGATCGACGCACCTCATTCATGTTGGCCATGTTGACAGACACACTTCTGCAACGCGCAACTCTGGAAGTCCTAAAGAAAGCAGCGCCTTTACAATATACCAAGCATGCACATCGCCGACTGATGATCAATCACTCCCAGCACCCTCCACCCTCCACCCTCCAGACTCAGCTCAAACAAGAGATCTCTTTCCCACTAAGGTTCCCGTCTGCTGTAAAAATCGACACCACCCTCAGATAGTAATAATGGCACAATTGCAATCTCAGAATTAGCGAGAGCCAGCTGGGTGAAGAGAGCAGAGGTGGTGGGAACTTAGCCGGGGCCGGAGGTAGCGCTAATGGCAGCATAACTTGTGAGCGACGCTGGGGGGGGGGGAGATTTCGAGGAACGAGATATGTCCGTTCAAGACAAATGCCTAGCTCTGCCACTGTCAGGCAGGGGCTATAGTCCCTACCCTAGGACGATGGTGATACAGTAAAACCAGGGGAGACGGATCACTATTCACAGGGGAATCAAATTATGGGTGAGAAACAGTCAATGATTTGAGCTTGTGTGCAGACTATGACGGCGATTGAAGGTAGACCTGCAGCAGTTAAAAGTTAATTAATTACCAACATCAAGAGATTAATCAACTGCGAGGGACGAGAGAGACAGACTGTTAGTCGACGAGAATTTTAGCGGCCCAAACATCGCATTCCGAGGCTGGCTACGTGACTCCGATCTGGTAGTTCGTGCAAGTGAATCCAACGGAAGGATTGCATATCCAACTGCATGTTGAAATCTGGAGGTCAAACTCTTCCGTAGACTGTGTAAATGGGCCGCCGCGCAGGATAGGGCTTGTCGTGAAGCGCAGGTCATGATGCGGGTATTGATGCAGTCCTCCCTGATTTGTCGAAGATAGTGATATTATTAAGTGAACATTCCTCGTGAATAGAAGATAGAATATTTAATGTAATGAAATATTGTAAAAAAATATTGCAAGAGTACCAATCAGCAGACCCACAGGGGACTAATATGGTAAGCTCATTATATGGTGAAGTGAGATATAATAGTTAAAAACGTAGGTGACACACGAGGTTCACATCGACGTACAGAACCATTATTTTGGGCTGCATCGAAGAAATACAGAATGCGCAACTTAAAAGCATTTTAAATTTTCCTCTCGGTTGGACAGAGCAATTGCTCCAAACACCATGAGGACGGGGCAAATCACAAATTTCGAGTAACAAAACTTCAACTCAATCATAAAATGGCGCACATAGGAAAAATGGTAAGATATCAGATGCGAATGTATGCAACTCAACGCATGCGACGGTATGTCCAGAATTGTGACGGATTCTCATATAAAATAGCACCAGTGCCCCACGGGAATACAGAGATAGCGCAAGCTCTAAGAGCTCTATCGGTAGCGCTTGAGAGAAAGTGTGTTGTTGCGCTTCCATGTAGCACGAATCGAAGGACGAGCTTTGGTATACAAGTGACCTCTGCCGCGGAGACCACGATACTTCTTGCCAGCAGATGTTAGTCCACGCAACTCACGGTGCTTGTGAACGGGGTTCACAATCCAATTAATCCTTGGATCCTTACGGATAACTGTATGTTGCGGATCAACCAGAATGATCTCAAAGTACTTGTATGTAGAGTCCTGCACCGAAACCATTTTGATAGGTAAACCCTCACAGACCACTTCCGCAGATCCCACATGGCGTGGGGATTACTAATAGCAACCCAACAAATAGAAGGCAATAGATCACGATAAGGAATAAAGAACTTAGCCCAGTTCAGCTAAACCTACAAAACTTCTCGGACCACTGGAATTCAACTTGGTGAGCATTCTGGACAGAAAGTAACCGACCAAGTCTTGAGAGAGAGAGAGAGATAAATAAAATAAAAAAATAAAACATTATCAGAGATAGGGTAAAAAAAATATCCAAATGCTACAGAACTCGTGACGTGTACAAAAATCACAATTCACGACATTATTAATTAGCAACTCGCACCTAATTGGCAGTATTCAAAACGATCAGACCCTCGATTGTGTTTATTACAAAAACCAAACAGATCCATAAATATGGACATACCTGGTTGATCCAGTAAGAGTTGAGGACCCTAAGGCCTCCAAGCTTCCTTCCTGCCCGCTCCTCAGCTACTGATCGCAAGTTACGCTGGAACTTAAGCTGTGTAATACCTTGGTTCTTAGGCTTTCCATACACAATACCCTTGGCAACTGGCCTCTTCCTGCCTCCACGGCGCACGCGGACGCGATACACCACATAACCCTAAAACAAGACCACAACGATGATATGTCAGAATTAGAATCGCATGGAATCAACAAATACCATGTTAAGTAAATATTTAACCTTGGCGAGCTGATGTTGACATGCAAATTGAGTATTTCTACATTAAGTTCAAGAATAGGTATCGAATGAGACTCAGATGCAAAAACAGATAAAATCAAAACCACAGGCTCGCGAGGTAAGAAGATCAGAGTTCTCCAGAAGTTCACAAAATAGCATGAATAATTCCGATGAGCAAGTACACAAATAAAATACAAGAGAAGAGCAAGTCCCAATCCATGACATCAGGAGGACGATAAATTTTATAAAGGTTATTGTCAAAACATGCACGAATGTGTCTCCTCAACTGCCATCTAAAGGAAATCCACTGAAACCATGTAGCTAGCACACCACATCATCGACGCCATCTTAGACATAAAACAACTAGGAAAGACATACTCAGTTTTGGCTAGTAACATTGAGATTTCTAACATCGCGACGCAACTCCTGATGAATTAAGCAGGACTAGAATAGAAAAACGGGTGGTAACCACAGAATGCAGATGCAGTTTCATTTACGTTTAAGACCATTCAGAAGTTCAACAATTATTCGGCACGATGGTATGTGAGTGAGAGAGGCAACCCAAAAAAAATGGGTTATCGGGGCTTGCAAGCAACCTACTGGACAGAACTATATAGTAGATGCTTTTCTACGCCACTTCACGCCACGCCATCAAAACAATTCAAATGCTACAATTTTTCCAAATGCAAAGGGTGCAAGAAAATAGCCAAATTGAAGTCTCAACACGTACCTGCTTGGCCTTGTAACCTAGACGGCGAGCCTTGTCAGGCCGAGAAGGGCGAGTGACGCGGACGATGCCGGGGAGCTGCCTGTACTCCCAGCAGCGCACACGCAGCAAAAACCGCAGCACATCAGACTGCTTCTTCCGCCACAACTCCTCAATGTACTTGTAGGCGCCTGAGAGCAAAATCAATAAATACCAACAATCAGACAATCAACACCTAAAACTCCGAACCGACGGAACTCTAATTGTGAAAATTGAACAGCATTGCACCAAACCTACACCACTCAATGAGCATATCAACGGAGCTACGTCCAATATAGACATTGTACGTCCCACTCTGAGAGAAAGTTGTTAAACCCTAAGGCAACGTACATAATCCTTCCTCGACAAATCAAAGTGAAGTCAATTTCCATGAGAATTTGTGCATATCAGCAGGACAGGATGCTACAAAGTGCAAAGTGTGGAGAGAATCAGGGCAGAGGAGAGTACCCATGATGAAGGATAGCGCAGGGGGACGCAAAGACGGGATGGCGATGGCGCAAACAGAAGAGAGCGAGCGCAGTGAAGCCCCTGGCGTTCAAAGCAGGGAGCCGCCTCGTCCAGCGCCAAACCCTAACTGTCCTCTCCTGTTCCCTCCGCTTAGTTTCTGGAAATCTACGTGATAGGAGAGATTAGCGAGGAAATGTTGGGCCCTGGGTACATATCCTATCCGGGGAGAGCCTGGTTTGTTGTGGCCCAGTTGTATGTGTATTTGTTTGTTTATATATTCCATTCTTATATGATTCTAACATACATTTGTAAGGATTACCTCGTTTTAGGGAGAAAGAATAAAATTTTGAATTTCTCCGTTTCATGATATGGGTGAGTTGAATAAAAGAATATGTTGTAGTAAATTAAAAAGAGAATGTTTTTCTTTTCTTTTTTTTTTCCTTTAAATATAATAATTTATTTTCATGCTTAAAAGGTGATTTTTTACCATTACCTTTTTTAAAAGCATATATAGGAATATAAATGGAGCATTAATGGGTTGCAATTACATTTTTTTTTTTTTTTTTTTTTTAAAGTTTCTATACAATTCTTTCAATGTTTTAAGATTTTATTTATTATGATTTTTTTGCTTATTCATATTTTATCTGTTTGAATGTATGTATGTATATATAGCATTGCTAATGCCACCATAATTTTGCTTCAACCACTACAATTTTCTATCTACTATATGCTACCATAATTTTTGATATCGCTACAACAACTTTATTTTTATTAACTATTAAATTACTTTTTATTAAATTTAAGTTTACTTTCATATAAATAAATAAATAAAATAAAATACTAAAAATAAATTCTTATAATAATAATAATAATTAATTATAATGTCAATTGGATAGTAGATTGTAGTAGCAATATCCAAAATTATAGTGGCATTAGCAGCACCATATATATATATATATATATATATATAGAGAGAGAGAGAGAGATTTATTGGGAGTTGTTAAAACCACACTTTCATTTTGTTAATGCTACACCCCCACTTGCCATCTCATAATTAATTTACTCTATCTCCCATCCCTTATCTCCAGCCTTTAAACAAGAGATGAGGAAATTGGGAACAAGAGTGGGAGGTTGAAGACATGGGACTAGGAATAGAGATGGGAGGTTGAAGACAAGGGATGGGGGATAGATCAAATTGATAATAATATGTATAAAAAAAATACCTTATAATGTTTATCTATTTTTATAATACTACATTTTACGAATGGTTAATTTCTACCAATTCTCTATCCAACAAAGTGCATCACCCAATTAATTCACAATTTGCCAAATTATTGTTCCTAAATTAATTCTCCACGTGACATACTCCTCCACACCATCCAACTTTGATACCCCTAATGAGCTTACTTGGAGACTACAAGGATGTTACAATTGTTCATCCACCAAGGCATCTTTCTTCCTTGATGCAACCTTTTCTATGCAACTGAAGAACTGATTCAATGCGTCACAAAGATTTGTACAGGGAAGTATGGTTGCTTGAACCATTTAACTCAAAAGTGTTTGACTTTCTTGTTTCAGAACCCAAAAAAAAACAAGCCTTACTACCTGACAATTATAGAATGTGCAGGCTTCTAGAAATCTCTTAATCGAAGAGAGAAGACAATGCCAATCATGCACAGAAAAAAGTTAAGTTTCTGTCTGTAGAATTTTTTTGTGATCCAGATCAAGACAAAATAATAATATATTGCTCGTTAATAAACCATGCTACAGGATCAAGTTTGCAGGTTCTAACATATATTCAGGTTTGTTTTCAACCAGATTCATTTACTAACCTTGAAAGAGTTGTTGGAGCACACACATGAGGATCTAAGAGCAGAAAATGCATTTTTAGAAGACAATAGAAATGGGTTAAAGTCTCCCAATGACTGCCTCCACTTCCTCTGCAGAATAAATATGAAACTCAGGAGCAACTCGTGCAACGTCCACATTAGAGGATGTCAGAGTTTCCTCCATTACTTGCTTCAGAATCGACAATGCTAATGTCTCGGCCTCAACAAGCGACATATTCTGCAACAAAAATACCCTTTGTTGTATCCTCAGTATCTTTTATGGCATAATTCATTAAAATCACCTCATGCATTAGAATAGATGAAGCTATGGAAGACTTGGTTGCAGCAATACCCGATCATATTGGTCTATGAGAGCTTGGTCTGCTCCTTCAGAGCCTGATCCTATCGCTTTGGCACTGGTCTCCCAATATGATCCTGATGGATCCGTGTGAAATCTGCCCAGTCTGTGGGTTAGTGGTGATTTTCTTTTCTAGTTTAGAGAATCTAATTGCTTAAATTCTAGGGTTGTATATTCTTTTTCTAACATGGGCACACACTTTGTGGAATATACAGAACTTTCGAGAAAGTGTTGGATACATACAGGGCTGGACCATGATCGTCGTGACCAGCGATCAGAAGAGATGCTCCAAACGGACGCGACTGCACAAGATGAAAAATTGTATGTTGCTTTAAAATTTGAACACAAGTTGATGTGTGTATCTTCCATTGACAAATAACTCGACTTCTGGATGACTTGCCCGTGGTAAGCTCTCAAAGTTTTGTAGAATTTTGCGGATCATGTTTATTGCTCATACACAACATAAGCAACAGAGGATTTGTTACTTCGAGAACTGACCATAGATTCATCTCCTTCACCGAATTTGAGAGCCAAGTTGCACAAGGCTTGAGTAGTTGATTCAACACTCATGGCTTCGTTGTATGAGAACCTATGATTCTAAATTAATTCCATGTGAACAGCACACAATGCACCTCGTTAGATGCCTTGTTCGCAGCCAGCTGCGAATCCACATTCATAAAAACACTCTCTTACAAAAGTTGTACATCTAGATTTTGAAACCTGTGTTTCCACGCGGCCGTGTTCCATTAGGGTTCGAGCATCAGCAGTTAACCCACTCATGGCACAACCAATGCAGTCGTCAATCATCACTATCTTCTCTATGCTCTTTGTTTCCTGCAATCAACAGCAAAGCACAAGTCATGTTGCTGATGGCTATGAGTAACAACGCAATCTGTGATAGAATACTTTCCAGAATTTGGCGATGGGGCAAAATAGACAAAAACCTCACCAGTAGAGGGGAAGTGACTACTTTCTCCACTGCAAGAATGACACCCTCTCTCGTCAACAGCCCTATTGCCGTTGAACCCAGCTGCCGCATTTATCAGAAGCACAGAACAATAAATAAATAAATAAATGTTGTGAGTATTCAATGCAACAGAACAATGCACAATTGTTACATTTTTTTTTTTTTTTTCTTCTTCTTCTTCTTCTTCTAATTTCTTCATAAATTCGCTTTTGCAACACGCTCACCGTGGAGGTCAATTTCAATACCTGGTCAGCAGGAGATTAGGGCTTCCTAATACAGTAACAGGAATACATCAAGGTGCCGCAAAGTTTCGTGTTAGGTCAAATATGCAAACAGCAGAATGAGCAAGTAATGCGTTTGATGTGCGACGGTTTCTAAGAATCGACTTCGATTTCCTGATTAAATAATTGTGCACACGGTAAGTTACCTTGCTGGCTTCAATGGCATATTCAACCTGGAAGAGACGACCTTCAGGCGAGAACGTATTAACGCCTCTGTCATACTCACTTCTGCACACACACAAACATGAGCATTCTTCAATAGTCAAAACACATTTGTTGCCCAGTTGCCAGAAACTTCTCACATCACCAGACTTCTACTTCTTCTTCCTCAACGACATAGACTGCAGTTAAATTGTGGAACATACCGGACATCTGATTACACAAATGTGGACTTAACTCTTCTGCAGTTTTGTGTAAAGTAACCCAGCTGCCTCACAATGTGCACTTGACACACATCCTTCTGTGCTTGTTTGTGAAGAAGATCATGCATTCAACAAGTCCAGTTCCTTTGCTTCTATGAATGCGTGTACTTTTGATGAATAACCAAAGCTTGACCAGAGCATAATTATTGACCTATTTGTCTGCCATTTGTACCCTTAAATTCTATATACAAAACACACAACATTGCTATCGTTTGAAGGCAATACTGATATGCATGTGTGGTGTTTTTGCATCAACATTGAAGGCTTGATGTTAATTCAATGCAAGCAATTTATGATTCAACAATGTGGGTCATTGCTTCGTTCTTATAAACCACCATATTCTGAGGGCAACGCTTCAGAATGATCCATACCTTGTGAGAAACATGGGTGATGTTGCTCAAATAAGTTGCAAGGCTTGTGAATTGAGGATTGAGTTGAGGCAAAGCAAGGAATACATTAATGCAATTTTCTTTTTCTTTTTCTTTGGGAAAGGTCTTATTCTATGCTGGTGTTTCTCTTATCAACATTATGAATTGTGTGAAATTATCAATCTTCGGCAAGTGTGTATTTTTTTTTTTTTGTTTTGTTAAGATTGAAAAGAATGGAAGAAATTATCAATTAGGAATTTTCTTATACCTGTGTGCATGGATTTCAATTGCACACTAACATGATAAGTTATTCCACAATGTGCTTGTTTGAAAAATTTCAACAATGAGTGTGCTTGTTCAAAACCCTGTGGTGTATTTGTCCACAGACTCAAGCAACTAAGGTGGTGTTTGTGATTTGAGTATTATTGATTTTTAAACTAAATAACTACTTTAAAATTGAAAAAATGAATAGTAATAAGCACAAGAATGTCGGATGTTTGTACGAAGCTTTCTCACCCACTCAAATATAAATTTCAAAATTATATATATAGTAAATAATAGGTTTCAAGTATAATGAGTCCTGACATCAATTGCGGCAATTTTTTACTACTTCTATTTCCCAACCATACATCTTCAAAACATCAAAAAGTTAAGGAATCAGACAGTTTACATGTAAATTCGACTGTAAATATTGTAGTTATTTGTCCAGTATGATATAATTTTCTCACTTTGGTAAAATTACTTATTAGAAATAGAAAACTGTAAGGTGGACACCCCTATTATTGCATAAACACCCTCATGCCATGCACAAAGCCTAGATATGAACCCAATTCAAGCTAAACAAAATATGTTTAAACAACAGAAACAATTAAAGTAAGAAAATACTACTCTTTTATAGTTTTCAAATGTATGTATATATATATATATATATATATATATATATTCTCTCTCAATTTTCTATAAGGAATACTATGATTTGTAAAATGTATCAAGCATTGCTTTGAAATGTTCATCTTTTTTTTGTAAATCAAGGATCTATTCTTCATAAACATTAAGATCTATCCTTTATAATCATAAAAGTATAGTTTTTCTCTACATGCATTATTCTTATTTTTTTATTTTTTTATTTTTTTATTTATAGCTTAAATTGAGTTTATATCTGAGCTTGATGTGTGGCAGAGAGGTGTTCACCTAACAATTCTCTAAAAATATTATGAAATACCAATGAGAAACAAAAATATGTTTTTATTCAAGATGTTGCACTTTAAGACATATTTTGAAACATCAAAATGATTTACAAGTTATTTTAATAAAATGACACTATATTATTAATATTGTAAGTTATTACCATATCTATCAATACTACATAGCACTAATTGATTGTATCAATATTAGTGGAACTAGAAATGCTTGTTCAAAGTATAATTTTTTTCTAACATTAAATTATTTAGCATACAAATAAACACTTGAAATTTCAAACTACAAAATAAAAATACTATGAGCTAGTATAAGTATATAGTTTTTTTAATGTATTTTTTATCTAAAAAATGATAAATAAGAAAGCATGAAATACATTAAGTTTGATTTTCATGCTAATTTTATTAAATATGAGTAATTAAGATGGAAAGTATATACTTTGATTTTAAAATTAATCAATTAAAATAATTATATAAAAACAAGTTTCCTTTTAAGGTGCATTCAAAATTTTCTGAACAAGATAACCTCAAAGTAAATTTCCACCTTTCTTATCAGAACTATTATTTTTCTTCTCTAAATCCACCGTCGTAGAACATATATTCTTTCCAGGTATGAACAAACTATGTCTTTTGCCAAGTACATATAAATATATATATATATATATATATATATATATATTTATTTATTTATTTTCCTTTGCAGAGTTGGATGACGACCTGCTCGCCAAGGTGCGGTACTTGTGAGTTGAAAACATCGCCGTTTGTACTTCTTTTTGTTCTGCAGAGAGTCGGCAAGATTACCTGAGATGATATATATTTAAAATTGTTACTTGAATTTGAGTAGAGACACTTGTTTAGGAAAAGGTTTTGTTAGGAAAAGTTGAATTACAGTCGTCACTGCATCAGAGTGTTGAATCCAATATGAGGGTATATCAGTGCCCCACTGAAGCAACGAATTCATTGCTTGTGTCTGTTTTGAATAAGGGCCGCGATGCAATTTATGATGACAAAATGTCGTGGGAGCCATTCGTAGATCAGACCACATACATGATCCGAAGCTGTATTGAGGCTAGACCAAATGAGCTGAAGTGTAAATCATTTTTGCATTCCATGATTTACACTTAAACGGTTACTCGATGTCATGGTGCTTGGGTCAGGTTTTGGTCTTTGAAGGATAAGAATGATCATCTATGGTCCTTTGCATGAAGTGATCCACCGGCAAGTTCTAGGAGCAAACTATTGCACACCTGTCGCAACTACTAGATTGGGTTTCTTAACGTGGGGAGATCGCATTTAGCAACTGGGTATCATGTATTTTGAAACAGTTCTGAGGCGAAACTATTTCTATACTATATTTCAAAGGCTCTTCAAAGTCTAAACCGTCATTCCGCAGTAGTGGAAGTGTTGGATGAATTCTAATATCTCCCGATGTGGATATTGCATATTTTTAGGTCCCTGGTACTTGACACATTCTCTGCACAATTCTGACTTCCTGTGATAAAGTTAAGGGACTCAATGTTACTTGATGTTTCGCATGCTGCAGCTAGTTTGTAGCTGCTTCTTCAATAGTTGATTTCTGGATACTATATCACTACTCTCTAGAACCCAAAGCATGTAAATTACAATGCTATCACAGTCTTTCATGAAAACTATAACGACAAGAACACGTTGTATCCTTTATGAAATTCGAGTGGTGTACTTTCTAAGGAACCATGTTATACAACTGCCACTGCTAATCCTGTTGTTAGCAGCGTGTCCACTTCGGTTTGGAACTTGATACACACTCCTCCGCGAGTCTGCGCTCTCGAATCCGGAAAGCTTCCTCCCTCAGCAAGGCCGCGTATTGGGTGCCTATGCAGTGCCTCTTGCGATCGGGGGAAGGGGGCCTGCAGTTGACATCCTTGGAGCAGATGATCTGAGGTGGGCTTGGACATGGCTTCGGGTGTAAGTTAATGCTCACAGGATTGCCACCTTTGTTACAGCTGTTGTTGATTCGCAAGCCATTGGGGGTGGGGTTCGCGTTTAACCCGGCTTGGATTTCTTTTTTGTCTCCAGGCTTGCCTTGGCTGGGCATGAGAGGTTGGAACTTCGACTGGTTCTCGAATGTAACATGGTTCGGTTCATTCTGGCGATGTTGCTTGATTGCTTTCCGGTTGCTTGATGTGAGACTTCGGTAGTATGGGCCACAGTTACCGCCACCCCTAAAGCGTGATATATTGTTGGTGGTGCGCGGGATGCATTCTCTCACCTCACTACCACGAGATATGCCACTTTCCCTCCCACGAGACTGTCTAAATGCATTTGAGTTTTGTTTCCTCTGGTAGTGTATGAGGCCCACCAGCTGGTTTCGTGCATCAGTGAGAGCGTGTGCCAACGACGATACAACGTCCCAAATGTTGCCCAGTTGTTGATCCTTGTTATCGTTTCTTCTCTTCATCCCCTGCATCATCGGCACACGAAACTATGTGTCAGCAGTTGGTTGACTAGGGTTTCTCAACTTTCGATAACCATAAGCCATCACGTTGCAGCGTCGTTACCTCTTCGTGAAGATCAGTCTCATGAGATAAGAAATGGTCAAAGAAGTGGTCTCAAGTAGTCAGCCGAACCATTCCTCAGCCACTAACTTCTGGGAATAAACTGCTCAAAGCATAAGTCAAAGGCGTGACCAAGCTTTTGAACCTTTGGTCCTTCGCAATTAGTGGCCGAGTATTTTGACATAAAAATAAGCTCTCAAGTCAAAATCAGATATTTTGTGAGAAAACAAAGGTATCTGATAAGCGAAGCTATTTGGCGAATTTGAATCTTTAAATGGGAAGAGTATTACCACCTTCGCCTGGGCCCTTCACAACGCCACGATAGGAGAGTCGTATACAAGTTCGTAGGATTCTATGAATGTGAAGTTCATCTCTTTGCGAGAAGATGTTGAATGGTGACTTTCGTTGCAACTTCCTCAGAGGAGCACATTCAGTGAGTTTACATCGGTGTCGCAGGAGGATATACAGTAACGAGAAATGTGAGCAGTAATCAAAACAATTAGGTTTGCTCGAATAAAACAGAAGAAATGTGAATAACGGTATATTGGGATTCTGTTAATCCCAATATTCGAATAGCCATAGCGAACATGTGGGACAGATGTTGCTCAGAGGGCCATTTCACACTGCAAAAACTGCGTCATCAACTACGATGCGGCAGATTGAGCATCAGTGAAGGACATAATCAGCTGGGACAATTACCTGCAAAGAAGCGTTGCGCATCATCAATATTGCTGCAATCGTGCACAAGTCCTGGACCTTCACCAACTTTGCAATTCAAGTGGAGAGCTCACAAGGATGAAACAAAGCGCCACAAAGACGGAGTTGGAATCAAATCAACCATGTGAAATAAAAACACGTTTCACTCCTCTCCTCTCATCAAGACATCTACCATGGATCCAGTTTATCCACCACACTCAACTCATTGCAAATTTGCCAGAGCATTTTTCCTTTTTCACATAGGAATTTCCCAAAAGATAAAGATTCCACGCCTTACAACATTACGATGCAGGTCTTATGGATTGCCTCGTCCAGGTTCTTGCCGAACATACAGGCAGATCGAAGGAAGAGGTAGAACAATAAACACGCAGCCTCTCTTGTATCGATTCCTACTTTCTGGCATCTTGCTAAACATCTCAAGCTCTAAATAACTATGTTACCATGCTCGGCATAGAATAGAGTCGGTAACGTAGACAAACCTCCACATCACCTCCAGTCTAGGTTTGCATTGAAGCACCCAGAGTTTGAATTACATTCGAGGTGACAGACCCTAATAAGCATCCTGATTGTTGTCTGTAAAAACGACATACCTGACTGCAAGTAAACGAGAGAGGAAGTTACCTGTGACGACGGCTACTTAGTGTGACCCAGCAGCTGCAGAGCACCCTCAAGAGCCCGGAACCCCAAGCGTTGAGGTAGGGCTAGGAAAACAAGCCTGAGGGGTAGAGATGAATGGAAAGTAAGAGAGGGAGAAGAAGGCCTCAAGCGCCAAAACTGGGTTTCTTCCCTGCAGCGGTGCGTCCCTTCCCTTTCAAACGACAACATCGTTGTTGGACTCTTGGGTCCTAGCCTGCAGCTCCAACTCTCTCACTCTTCCACTACAAATTTAATATGGAATATTAGCAATGTATTGGACAAATACCTCAGTAAAGTGTTACATCGGTTACTAAGAAACGTTAGAGCCAGTGAAAATTAGATACTGCCAGGGAATCTGGTATCTGCATTGTCATTGAGCACTCTCTCCAGTGTCACATCTTTAACATTGCGTGTAGACAACAAAATGCTGCTTCTCCTCAACACGAATTCGTCTCTTCTACATTGTTTAAATGTTGACAACAGATTTTCGCAAAATCAACCTCAAGCACTATCTGATCTCTGTGTACCGACACCACACATGAGTTGACATGGACGAAGCGTCGGATGCAAAACCCACGACAGGTCATTGACAATTTGGCGTTGATATTCTGCCGTTAGGCTTGTGATGTGCAACTGGTCCATATCCTAATGCCAGATGCAAGGATTCTGTCAGAGAGGGTGAAGCGGGAAGCTATGGCGATGCTAAACTACGCAGGCAGAAGCTGAGCAATTTGGGGAGAGGCGAAGCGGGGAGGAGGATTATGGCGAGGGGATGACAGTGAGGAATTCAGCGAGGGATTGTCAGAGAGAAGGCAGCATGAATGGTAATAGTGACTGGAGATCGTTATCTGGAGCTGCTGGCTCTGCTTTATCGAGCAGCAGGTTGGGAATCTGCTCAAGCTCAACCCCGTGGGATTATGCTACATGCAGACGCGACTTGAGGCGCTGCAGGAGCTAGAGCAGTTGCGCAGCGAGGCGCCCGTTGATTACCTGCGCGCCTTCGTGGCTGATTTGGGCGACCACCGCTCGCTGGAGAAGCTCAGGCGCGTGTAGCGGCTTCTGGGGAGCCTGCGAGTCGTAGCGATGCTGCCGTCGCCCTCACGCGACCCCACCCCCATCACCCTGCTCCCGTTTGCGAGGTTGAAGAGCCTGCAGCTTTGAGGATGTGACTTGTCCACTTCGGCTGCGCGAGGGCTTCTCGAATTGCAGCCTATTCTAGAGAAGCTCATATGTCACAATTCCGCCGTAAGTATTTCGTTTGAACAATCGAGCAATTCGTGGATTAGTTCTGCCCTAGTGAAGGATTGTTCTGCCCTAGTGAAGAATTGAACGATTTTTTTGTGCTCCTTTTCATTATTTTCTTCCTCATTTTAGGGTAACACTTGGTTGGCGAGTGTGGAAGGATGGAGTAGGTGGTGAACTTTAGGTGTTGAGTGCTTTGTTGAATCAAGGTGCCCAAACTTTCGAGTGGAATGCCCTGATTTATAATCCATGCATCTGTCCGTCAATTGTGAAAGCTCAAAAGTACGTAGCATCAAAAAGGACAAGACATTAGTCTTTGAGATTCTGTCTCGATTGCGTTATGATTTTGTGGTCTGTGGACATTGTGGCATGCAGAATGCGTGACGGCATATTCTCGCGGAGCAAACTGTCGAGATTAATGTCTAGGATGAAGTGGATCAGGTTGGCAGCTGTAGCATGTCCTTGCAATGGGTTGTCCCTGATGGATGAATCCTTGCAGCTTCTACCTGTCCAAGATGCTCTTGATCTTAGCAGAAACAATTTCGCAAAAGTAGCCAATCTTCAAAGTTGAACCGGGCTCAAGTTCCTTAACCTTGGATTTAATCGCATTCCATCTGTGTCTTCATTTAGCCAGGCATGTTGGACTTTCTCTTTCATTATTTTTAAGTTGATCATTTTTTATTTGATTTATGGTTAGTTTTAAAGAACAGAAACAGTAGTGTTGTAAGTTAAATACCTCTCGAGCATTTTCCTGCCTCATAGATAGTACTTCTAGGTCATGCATTGCAGCATGTTTTTACAGGAGAAGCCATATTGCTCATCAGATGAACTGTTTGAAGTGAGTTCATCCACCTACTTCTTGATGCCTAAGTTGGAGAATGTAATCCATGCAGGTAGTGTGTCCTATCACCAAGCTAGACTTAAGAAACAATGCGCTAGTCTCAACACAAGGAATAGAGGCGCTTCGTTCTCTTGAAACTCTTGACCTTCCTCATAATTTAATTTCCAACTTGCATGAGGTGGACTCTTGGCTTCCTGCCTGCACTTCAGGCGTTGTGGTTGAATGGCAACCCTATTTGTGTCAGCTCACATTATCGTCAATAGGTTTTCAGCTATTTCAATGACCCTAGTAAGGGACGCGTTCGTACATAGTGAACTTGTAGGGGTCTACATTGCAGCTCTAACTTGATCCGTTTGTGAGTGTCGTCTGATTTGTCCTTTACCTTCATGGGTAAAATTAGACTTTGAAACTCTGTTCCGCTCGCCTTGATGAAGGAGAATATGCAGTTGTACAACCTGCGTTTCGTTCTGTCTACGTATAGATTGGTAAGAATTTGTATAGTTATTTATGAAATTTGATTGTATCACTCACCTTAAGCAACTATAGCTGAGTGGTAATATTTTATTTACCAAAGGTCTCATTACCAATCCTCTCTGCAATGCGATGGACCTTGAAGTTGCTATTTTGTGGCCTGTGTACCTCGGATAATCTGTGTAGCTCACTGTGGCATGCTGAATAACAGAAAGAGACCTCACGACTGGCATCAATCGATGATCGCACGGGTGGGTTCAAGCTAGTTGGAGCCGTTGACAGTGTTCAACAGGATGTGCAAGCAGCCTGTTCAGTGCCTGAAACTGCTCCGTCAGGATAAGAAGTGTAAGAGGTGGATTCTGAGGTAGCCCAGCTGATGCAACAAATTGAAATCATGAAAAAGGACGGCTCCGAGCATCTGGCTGGAAGACCTGGTTGGATTCCGGTAGTGCGAAGCTCACATCCCAAGTTGTGATGGCAAAATTATAGGTAACAGTAGTAGCGGGAGTTGGTCGCAACGGAGGAGGCGAGGCAAGGAAGATGCTAGAAGAAGGTTAGAGAATTCAGCCATTCCTACAGACCTTCGAGAAGCTGAACATGGACTCGAGTCCATAGCAAGATCTGGTATTGAGGATAAGCCACTCTTTATCAAGAGTGGTATGAGTTCATGGCAAGCAAGAGAGGATAACAATGATGAATTACCAGCGTCACCCCCGCATTATGATAGTGCCGTTATGCATAGACGTCAAAGATTTGTGAATGAGACGCTTCGCTTGCCACTTGATTCGTCTGCAACATCGAGTGATAGTGATAGCGATTTGCATAATGATCGTCAACAAGATCCAGTATCAGACGGGACTAACAGTGACCCAAATAGCCCATCTTCGATGACGGACAAGAGAAATAATTTTCAAAAACTTAAGTCTCAATCTTATGAAAACCCCTTAAGTGGGATAAAGTTCATCGAGGTTAGTGATGAAGGGGCTAAAACCAGCTCCCTTCTGTACTCTGGTAAAAGCGAGAGGCGGGTTCGAGGGACTCTCAATTTGGCACAAGAACCAGGTTCGACAGAGCCCTCTCCACTAAAGGACGGTGTGAAGACTGCTTGTGGAGATGCTTGTCGCAGGCGAAAGCAGAAGAAAACACGCCGCACCATGGCTCTAGATTCAGAAAAACTAGTTGGTTTAAGGATCTAGATGAGAAGAAACTAGTTGGTTCAAGGAGTTTCCTGCTTGGCAGAAATAGGCAATAATCAGACATTGTATCTGAACTTGGGGCTCCTTCACCTTCTGCTAAAAATTTATCCCACTTATTTACGAGGAACAGATTGTTCACTTCTAATGCTAATCCTTCTGCTGTTACTAGATTGGCAAGGTAGGGCCTTCACAAGCCAAGTTGTGGAATTCGCCAGCGACCTTGGTAATATGAAAACCTTGCTGAGAAGCAGTGACATTTAGAGTAGACTTTTGTAGATTAGAAACAGAAAATATGCAAAGATGTGAAAATTCTTTTGACAAGTAAAGCCGTGTTAGTTATCATTTTTCTAGCAGTGTGCATCGATTTACGTGATGCTTACACATTGTGCATTTCGAAGGTCAGTTGTATATCCTATGTAATTTCATAAGCCATACACCCCTTGGCACATAGAATCACATTGGAATCTTCTATTTCGAACAACCTTACATTCTGCAACTTCTTGATTTTGCCATGTTCAAGGATGATAAAGCATATCCATGTGAGTATCTCCATACCCTCTGCCAGTTTTATCATCATCATGACTTGACCAAATGCTTTCTTCAACGACTTGATGAACTACAAAAACTAAGCAGAGACTTGTGAGGTGTTTCCATAGGAACCAAACCGCCCATGTTTCACTTTTCGTGAACACTTTACTGCAATTTCTGAAACAACCTCCCCAGATGGACTTGCAGGAGCTAACTCTTCCTTCACTCCTTGAAAGCAGAAAGACAACAGCACCACGTGAAGAATACTGAGTGCTGCTATTTAGAAGCGTCACGAGATATCAGTCGTACATTCACTCAAGCACGCAACGAATGTTTCGGGAAAGGAGAAAGGAATGTGTCAAAAGTAATATGCCTCCTCATGATGTCCCCATTCCACGCCTGCCTGTGACCTTCGTTTGATTACAAACATGGATCAATTACATGCCACCACTCGGCAGAGATGAATACACCCAAAGGTATATTTGCTCATTAAAAAATTTGTAGCGAGGTGTGAGTATCATTTGAAATCTCTAGAGGGCTACCATCAAAGGATTCTAACTTGTGGCAATGTGCCACCGGCCCCCGTCACCTAATCTTCCCGCTACCACAAGCTTTCCTCGACAAGGAGGAACTCCGGTTCTATTGATGTGGAGTAACAAATATGGTACAACTTGTTGGACCGGGCAAGCCACAACAGGGATTGATCACCAACACTATGCCGAACCATCCGCAGTTCATGCTGAAAGTTGGTTCTCACAAACTAGGTGCGAAGGTCACGTGATCTGCAACGCGTAAAATTTTTCGTTAGGGTTTCCGTCAACAAGCAGCCCGGCCTTCTCTTCGGCAATAGTGACAATAGAGTTCAGTTCCAGCTTGAATGGTGAGAGCTCGTCATCGTCCGCGTCCAGAATTGGGACAACCTTGTGACTCACAAGTTTGCTCATCTCGCCTGCGGAATTTTCAGAGCCCGTGAGTTTCTTCGCTCTCGAGCACTCCTCAATCCAGTTGATGCGCAACGTGATGAACAAAATGGCACATGCGCAGCAGATTTGCGCTGCAAGAAGCCCATACCAAAGCCCTTGGAATCCAATCTTCAACCAAAAAGCGGAAATTACAGCAACGGGGGTGCCCACCATGTAGAATGAAATGAACATGATAATGGCGGTAATAGTGGGGCGAGCGCTGCCGCGCAGAATTCCACACCCTGCCGTCTGCGGACAGTTTCCGAGCTCACAGATGCCGACTAAGGGCAAGGCAGCGGCTGTCAATGCGAGCACGCTTGTGTCAGCGGTGTAGAGAGTGCCCCATTGGTTATTAAAAACACTCGTCCAAATTACACTGACAATTGCAACGAGAAATGCAGTCGCCAGTGCCACCAGGCTCGCATTTCTGGCTTGCTGGGGTCGGTTGGCTCCAAGCTCGTTGCCAACACGGGTAGAGACGGCTGACCCTAGTGACATGGGAATAGTGTACATGAGCGCGGTGGTCTGAATCAGAATTGCCGTCGCTGCAACCGCCACTTGTGGATTCGAAAGATACCCAGCTAAGATGGTCATGATCTCATACCACCACCATTCTAGGCAAATTTGCAGGCAGCTTGGCAGGGCGAGAGATAGCACAGGCCACCACTCACGCACGCATGCGGGCGAGACTCCGCCCCAAGTATTCTTAAACGCCCCAGAGAATTTCACGTACAGTAGCATGAAAACAACAACATTGATATTCGTCATCGAAGCGGCAATAGCTACTCCTGGCACTCCAAGGTGGAAGACAAACGTGAAAACAATGCTGAGGGGGATGTGGAGCACCACCCCGAGCGCGGAACAGTACATCATAGGAGTCTGAAATCCGTGGCACCGGAAGTAATTCCGCAGCGGCTGCAGAAAGCAATTCGCCACGAGGTCAGGAAGCGAGTACCAGCAGTAGACGCTTGCTACCGAGGTGATGCCCGCGTCTTGGCCCAGAAAGAGCATGATGGGTTCCAAATTAACCCACAGCATACCGATGGGAAGGCAGGCGGTGAGCAGAATGGCCACCGTGCGCTGGAGGGTCAGCCCTACAAGATGCCAGTTCTTTGAGCCCACCGCTTGGCTGCAAATCGGGTCCATTCCGGACGCAAGCCCATAGAGAACAGAGTAACCCGTGATGTTAGTGAAACCGATTGAGAGCGCACCCCCCGCTAGCTCCAGCCCGCCTAGTCGGCCCAGACAGAGAACGGACACCATGAGCCTCGCGTACGCAATTCCATTAGCCACTGCGAGTGGACCGGCAATTCGCATCGATTCCTTGAACTCTAGCACAACCTGTAGGGGAAACAGTAATTGCGGATTGATCATTAAGCCTCCAACTCCTAAGCTCAGAATTGCACAATAAAACATCCAGACTCCTGGACGGACGCCAACAACTGATCTTTAGTCAGGAGCCTACCTCTTGTGGAGAAGGCCAAGACTGGAGCGGACATTCCCGCATGTCGATATCCGACTCATCGTCCGAATTCAACGCAGGGTGAACCTGCAACGTGGTATTGGCGATACACATGGTGCACTCCCTGGTGGATAACAAGCTCTCGCTGGACACTTGACGCTCTAACCAGTCCACTTCAAGGTGAATGCTTCAGTGATTAGAATTCAAACACAGCTTACGACGACGCTAACGCCGATCTAACCCACAACTGCAAGCGGTCACCGGGTGAATGAACTCACACACTCACTCTCACAGTCACTCGCTCACTCGGCTCATTCGGCTCACACACTACTTGTATTAAACGGCAACTGACAATTTAAACAAGGGATCGGAGGCGGGAGCACACGGAGGCACCCTCGGATGCTAGGCAGACGACGGGCAACAACAATCATAGTGAACAGACCCGTGGCGGTGACAAAAGCCCACTCTGAAGCTCAACGGAGGCCGCAACTCCACCCCTACGTTCAACTTCCGAGCTGCAAACCAAAGACTGAACACCCACACTATCAAACACTACGCCGGAGGCAGCAGCAGCAGCACATGGATGCTCTAAAGTACTAAACCTCACAATAACTAGCCCCTTCCAGTCCACCTTGGTCTCCAACCACCAAAACTTTAAACTCAAGCACCAACTTCAAGCCCAACTAGAGGATGCGACTACGTTGCCAGGGAGCAGCTAGCTGGGAATGAATCGAGAGCCTGCGAGCCAATGTAACCTTACAACTGGACATCATTTGAGCAAGCAGCCACCAAGAGCGTAGTTGGTTGCTACCGCTGCTACTACATAGCGCCGCCACACAAGTGGACTGGAACAAAGCACGATCGCCAACCCAGGGCCCCACTGCAACGATACCAGAATCCCTGCTGATCGATCGATCGATCGATCGATCATCCGATCGCGAGCAGTATTCGCAAGATTAGCAAATGGGATCTGTCTGTCTACCTATCTATCTGCGAAAGGAGACGAGTCCCCAGCTTGCGATGTAAAGTTGACTCGAAGGCTTACAGAAAGCCGCCACAGTGTAATATATTCCAGCAGCGGCTCCCCCCACCCTCTTCATACTTCGATGCAGTAAAGCCAGTCACACACTCACTGACTGCACTGACTGTCTCACTGACACTGGTGCTGCACTAGAATCCCTCCTCCTCGTTGCACCATAGTAACCCAAATCCACCTACTTCTAGACTCTCTGTTGCAACTTGAATAGGCTGCAAATCTATCCCACTGATTCTCGGTGTGTTTGCACACAAACACACAGCTCAACACTAGAGCGGAAAAAGCATTGATCCACACTCGCAATTCACACTCTGGACGCATCCGCGTCACTTCCCTTTCTCGCAACCTGCCGTTGCGTCGCGGCGGTGGCCTGAAGATAAGGTCCCGGTTCACCTTCTGTTGCCGGTCGCCGAGACGCCCTGTCACCGTCCGTTGTCGGTAACTGCCTTGCCCTGCCTTGCCCTGCCCTGCTCCCGTTACATGCTGTGTGCGGTGACGGAGATGCACTAGTCACCGGATGTTTCCGGTGACGCTTGACCCCGTTTTGATGAAGGTGGTTTAGTAGAGAGTAGGGAGTAGCTTATTTTTAAAACCCCTTTGGGGAGAGTTTATTAGTTTTATGATGCTTCCGACATGCTCGAGGAGACAGTGAGATAATTGATAAGATTTGCAAGCTGGGTGTGTGGATATATATATATATATACATACTTATAAATGAATGGTTGTTGTTGATACTGTTGAAGGATTTAGAACTGATTTGATACATGTAATTATTCCAGTTTCAAATCAATGCTTGATCACGAGCATAGGTAGAGAGAGAGCTTCAGGATTTTAAAACTTATTGAGTACCTGCAATCCATGGTAACGTTTTTTAAATGAGGTACTGTGATTTGGATTTGTGTACACAAAAGATATAATTTGAAGTATCAAACAAGTTTGTGTGTGTGTGTGACTTTATGTCTTTGTTTAGATATATACACAATTCCTTTTATAAATATTATATTCTTAAAAGTGTGTATGGAACAGCCTTTTAACAGATCAGTGTCTACTGCTTCATTTCACATATTTATGAAGAATTGATTTGAAATTGGGGTCATTGTAGTGATGAAGTGTTTGCTTTAATCTTAAAACCTTCAGGTTTATTATTGATTACAGTTGTTGGATGTGTGTGCTTCCAACCCATGCGTGTGGAACATTTGTATTTATTTATTTGACATTAAAGACAGAAAAATCACAACGTAAATAATACAAAAATATGGGTTTTATTTTTATTTTTAGAAAGGTGGCAAGAAGCTGCAACTTTCAGAGTTGGTAATTAGCTGGCCTCGTTTTTAGGAAAATCAACCAAAATTTTATAAGAGGAAAAATAAGGTGAAATTAATTTTTATGGGTATATATATCTATATATATATCTACATATATATATATTTCTATATATATCTATATATATATATACATATATGCCATGAACAGTGTCATCTTCTAAAATTTGCATAATGCTTTCATGAAGAGCTGGTTTACAAAAAAAATGAGAAGTTGTGTTTAAATTTGCTAAACATGTGTAAAAAAGTAAATGGTTTTTTATTTTTATCTTTTACAATTACCAAACTATATATTAAAAAAAATATATTATTTTTATACTTAAAATTGTAACAAGAAAATGAATTGATGTATTTTATGACATCTTTTTACTTCATACTATTTTAAAAGCCAAGGTTTATAAACAATACCATTTTTCAGACCAAACATGGACCCTGAACTTTCTAAAGGAAATTTTTAGTTATAAAAACCCATTTGCATGTGTATGCATACATTCCATGTGTGTTGAATACACACACACATACACACACATACCTATTACATATATATATATAAATAAATAAATAAAATTGACCCCCCCCCTTTGTGTGTTTGTGTTGGTCATGCCACCTGGTGCTGATGTGGAGGCAATGGATGAATGTGGCTGGTGTGGCCTCCAAATTTCCTTCTTCTAGCATACACATTCATCCAATAGGGACAGAACATATTTTGTACTCTGCAGATTGGATTTTACTTCCACGGAGAGTTTCATTTTGGAGCTCGATGGAATCCAATCCAATGGATCCAGTTCCAGAAGATTGGAAAGAGTTATCAGAGAAGGAAAAACATTAAAAATAAACAATTGATTAATTAAAATTAAAACTTTCGAAATCATTTAAGAAATTGCATTTAATATTATTTAGAAAAATATCCGAACTGATTTTTTTGACAAAATTAAACACTGATGAGAGTCAAATCATGTGTGGCCAGGTATATCTTCACTGGAAATAACCCAACAAAGCTCGGAACCTATTCATTCATAATGGCCACTTTTTTGGGGGGTTTTTTTTAGGGTTGTTTGTTGCATTTATTCTTAACTGCTTATGCAGACAATTCCAATCGATGAAGATATTGCGTTATCTTTTTTCTCAGAATGGAAGCCTATAATTTTGCAGTCATCCATGGTTGTTGATTTGTTTAAATTTAAAAAAAAAAAAAAAAAAAAAAAAAAAAATTGTTTCTAAGTTTTTATTTTTTTATTTTTTTTATATATTTATGTCAGGTGGTAATTTGGTAAAGTTGATTGATTTCTACAAGAAAGAGTTAACATAGCTCATTTATATGAACCATGGTGAATTAAAAAAAATAATCTAGTCTTTTGGAAAAAACAGACTTTCAAAAAACAAGCAATATACACAAATTCTGAGATCAATTTTTGTTTAAATACAGGGGGGTAAAAGTAATATAGCATTGAAATCACCATGGAATACCTTATGTAGTTTTTATAATAGAACTTGGATACAAAATAAGGAGATTTAGGGATTGAAGGTGGAGTAGTTGACATCACAAAAATCCCTATAGAAATGGGCTTTTCTTAGATAAGATGGTGGTGTAGCTTTAAAAAATGAATTGCATTTGAAACAACACAATATTAGTTCTGGGAATAGCATGAATACAAGAAAATTATAAAATATATGATATTACACTTCCAGGAATTGAATCATTGTTTGATGTTTGATAAACAATTACATGTTGCAAGTAGTGCAAAGTATTAGAGGATGAAGTATCAAGACCTTTTAGAGGGAACTCAATAGGATTTATGTTTTAAATTACTAAAAACATTACAAGCTTGAAATGCACCTTAGTCTAGCTCACTTAATTAATGAAACAATTCTCAACGTTGTATTCATAACCATTCTTCTTACCCATCTATTCATTAAAAAAAAAAAAAAAAAAAAAAAAAAAAACTCTTTAATCTTTGGTAAGTGAAGGCACTTATGAATAATATATTTATCATCAATATAACTTTAATGTAAAATCCAGTACAAGCAATTCAACATTGAATTTAAAATACAAGTATATATATTTTTATACTGTAAACACAATGGCAAAACACTCACATGCGTTGTTGGAATCCCCTCACTCACTCACACACACTCACTCTTGTGCTGCAAGGGGAGTCCCTCTTATGGTCTAAGGAAGCGTCGGAGGACTGCGATGGAGGACTCGTCAAGAGACGGCGATGAACCGGAAAAAGTGGGAGCGACGAGCGGGGAATTTGCTCGCGATGGAGGAGAAGGGGATTTGCAAAATGGGGGGTTGGTTAAGGGTTACGAAGTACTTATGAGTCGAGTTGCAGCGACGGAGAGCGTGGGAACAACAACAACAGCAACAACAACACCGAGATGAGATGAGATCCTGCGAGACTCAAACTGCAACAAACAAACTGGCGGCATACCGAACAGGGCCCACAACCGACACCCACCACCACCACAAAGACGACGATGCACCCATTTGCTATGATCCTTCCTGGCTGGACATGCGGGACTCGCAGCCATGCGGCGGAATGCACCATTCATGCATTCATTCGTTCATTCATTCATGAGGCGACATTTTTTTCTTGTTTGAGTGGATCCGGCGGCTCTTGCTTCCTTTCTCCAACCCAAGCAAGCAAGGCGTCGTTCCTCATGCCGCGTTGAAACCGTGGCTGACCGCGTGGAATGGGCTTCAGTTCCTGATTAGCCATCAGCTTTAACTCTCTTTCCCTTTTCTCCTCCTGCGCCGTTGCCGGTCTGGGTCCGCTCTGCTGCTCCTTCTGATCATTCCGCAATCATCAATGCTCATCAGCGAGGCTCCATGCTTCTGCTGCTGCTGCTACTACATTCTAATTCCTAACACTTGGGGTCCCCTCCTAGCGTGAATTTATCTAATGGTGCGGGGTTTATAATGGCACAGTGATTGATTGATTGATTGATTGAGTGTGTATTTGTGGGTGTGTATGTGAGACTGAGTGCGGGCATGGATCGATCGATGCATGGAAGACTGACCGGTCCCCAACTGGATTGTGTCAGTTCTGGTGCTGTCCAAGTGAATGTGCAGTGGAGAGCTTTAATGGCGTGCCCCCTTTTTTAAATATATTTATATATACACTTAATTCTTCAAAAAAGAATCTATTAGGAAAAGTGGATGATTTTTCTCAAAGAAAAGAAAAGAAGGAAAAAAAAAAAAAAAAAAAAAAAAAGTGTTTAAAACATTCATTAGTAGTGGGCATAGGAGAGCAAGAGAGAGAAAAATAAATGTTGAATAAAATAAACTACAAAAATTAGAGCAAAGTGTTGGTTTTGGTATAGGATCTTTTTGGCATAGGGTTCAATTGAACCTTGCCATCTTGACCAGGCAATGGACCTTGGTTTCTAAAGATTAATTGTTGAGGTTAATAGAAAGTCACTTTATAACATGTTTTTTAAATTTTTGAATTAAAAATGCAACACAAAGTAATTAAGTCTATCATGAGGTAATAACACTGTAAAGTGTACATATATATATATATATATATATATATGTAGATTCATATATGTACGATTGGCTATGGCAACTTAAAACATTGGTCACATTAAACCAATTACAGAAATGTTAAAATTTATCTTTTTTATATTTAGCAAAAAATAAAAAAAATAAAAATACTGCTAATTATGTTGATTTAAAAAATAATAATAATCAAATTTTGATGATAATGTTTGGACATGTAAGATTCTTTAAACTCAAGCCTACATAAATTTATTTGATTTCTTTTCAAAATGAGGTTTTGTGATTTATAACCAAAAAACATCTTCTCATGTAAAATTTTGAAAATAGAATGCTTTACAGCGTGGAATGTACAGGGATTCATAGTTGAGAGGGAAGAGAATCAGAGGCCAAAGAAGCAGATGCTCTTTGAGAGGATGTTTGAAAGTTATATTGTCAGAAGGTGATTTGTTGTGTGTCACAAATCAATCTATTTGTTGTATTCTTCAAGTAAACAAGAAAGAGGAACTGTAGATATTGAA